TATGTCTGTATATATGTGTACATACAAAGTGTACGTTCCAGCAACATTTCCCCATTTTATGGATTCATGATTATTTCAACCACGCCACTATAATAATTTTAATTAATATTAGTACGTAGGAAGAATATATTTTCGTATGTGCGCAGAAACTACGGATGTTTGTAAAAAGTATGTTGTGTTGATTTCAATATCATCGCATAATTTTAGGAATACTGATGCTTAAGAACAGTATATATATATATATATATATATATATATATATTATATATATATATATATATATATATATATATATATATATATATATATATATATATATATATATATATATATTATATATATATATATATATATGTATATATAAACATTGGTTTTAAGGCTTATATGTTATACCGTAAAAAAAAAAAAAAAAACAGATGTATGAACTTTAATAAACTTTAGATATACTATGAATCATATTACTTCACTGCATAATATATTGATAGGTTTTCCAAATAACTGTATTAAACTGATAGTAAACTATTGGTGATAAGAACACTGATAATACAATGATCTTATTAAAATGAAAATAATAAATGAAATTATAGAACAGGACGCATAGTGAGGATATTATTTTAAAAAAAATAATAAATAAATAAATAAATAAATAAAATAAATAAAAAATAAACAGTTTTAATGGATTATTATGAATCAAATCACTGCACTGGATGATGTACTGACACCACTAACGAACTTACCGCGTTCAGTGCACATCTTTCCTAACACTGTGAATAGAAATGATGATAAACTGTTGGTGATAAGAACGTTGATATCATATTACCATTATTAGATAAAGTAAAACGATATGTAAAATCATGGAACAGGAGCAATAGGGAGGATATTGAAATAATAGTGATGATTCATGGTTTAATAATAAGAATCATGATCTTTGCTCCCATCACTGATACTAATGAGAATAGTAATACGAATAATGATATTAATGATAATGCATATTATGATGGTAATAACGAGAGAAACACACACATGCATATTTATGTATATATATACTAATATTTATATGTACAGATATACATATACATATACACACATATGCACACATACATATGTATATTATTATATATATGTAATCATATACATACATAGATATGTTTATGTACACTAGAGGGGAGGGGAAGGGACATCGAATTGAGCATGTTTCGTCTCTATACTTCAAGGATGATGTCTCTTTACTGTTAGTTCTCTCACTGTTTTTTTTTTTTTTTTTTTTTTTTTTTTGAAAAGGTCAGTTTCCCCTTAGTCTGGAAAAACACTGATGCGTTTAATTTCTAATGTTATTGTTCTGATTAGTTATAGTTATGCTTACAATTCGCAAAGAATATGAAACCTAAAAATTGAATATTCAAAAAGAAATGTAACAATATATACTCTTAGTTTGTTGTGGGTTAAATGCACTGACAAACTCTCCATACGGCAATCGCAAACATACAATCTCGATACTGCATGACAAGCACCTTTATCTCAAAGCCTTCATAAAAAAACAAAGTTCAGAAAGCATGCTAGACATAAAGGTACCTTGAGAGTATGCCCTGTCTTGTATAAATACCAGGACAAAACATCAGTGTCACACTTTTGGCTCTGCCTTTGTTCTTGTCGGAGTAGGACAGGAAATCGGACGATGTTTATAAAACGGCCGTTGGTGAGGAAGCAAGTGTGTTTGTACGAAAAGAAAAAGTTAGACTCTGAATAAGTCTAGTTGATAATTAGGTCTATTTTGTTGATAAAGATGAGGATATGATTAGTAGAATACTGAAGGTTTAAAAGCGAATTGACTATTTCCAGGTGGTGATGGTGGCCGTGATGGCGATGGTGTACGTCGCAGCGGCTGGAGGAGGATATGGTAGTGGTGGAGGAGGAGGACGAGGAGGTGGAGAGGAGGAAGAGGTGGCGGTGGAGGAGGAGGTAGAGGTGGTGGAGGAAGAGGAAGTGGAGGAGGATTTGGTGAAGGACGGGGTGGAGGGTCAGCAGGAGGCGGATTTGGAAGGGGTGTTGGTGGAGGAAGCGGTGGATTTGGTGGAGGAGGAGCTGGAGGATTCGGAGGCGGCAACGCACTTGGTGGCGGCGGCGGCGGAGGAGGATATGGCGGAGGTCGTGGCGGCAGCGGCGGCGGAGGCGGAAGTGTGCTCCCCGCAGTTTTCCTGGGAAGTGGAAAGCTCTCTGGCGGGCGGCGGCGGATTCGAGGCAGCGGCAGCGGTGGGAGGATTTGGAGGATTCGGAGGCAGCGGTAGCGGGGCTGGAGGATTCGGAGGCAGCGGATTTGGCAGGCAGTGGAGGCGGTGGATTCGGAGGCAGCAGCGGTGCTGGAGGATTCGGAGGCAGCGGTAGCGGGGCTGGAGGATTCGGAGGCAGCGGCGGCGGGGCTGGAGGATTCGGAGGCAGCGGATTTGGCAGCGGCGGCGGAGGAGGCAGCAGCCGTGGAAGCGGTGGCGGCTACGGAAAATGAAGTGACGTGCTCGGGCGTAAGCCATCCTGACTGAGAAAAATAAAATAGCTATGAAACCAAAAGCCTTTTTTTATTCCCTTCTGTAGCATTCACGCCGCCATACGAGTTCGCTGTGCTGTACATTTCCATACACGTCCTGTACATCCACGCACAAGAACATCCATGCACATTTACACAAAAGACAGATACACATACACTTACGAAAACATACACGCACACGAGGAGACTCAAAAACAATGAGGTCTAATGAATTGAAAGAAATCGTCAAGTATTTAAGAATTTCGAGGTATGGAAATGGTAAGGTATGAACAAACAAAGAATTCATAAGTATTTGATACACATTTGATTTTATTTATCATTTTTTATTATCTTTTAAGAGAACTGAACTATTGGAAGATCAATTTCTATTTAAGATATTACTTAATAAAGATCTTTAGGGAGAAAATGTAATTATAGACAAGCTTCATTACTTCACACACAGACAAAAAGATCGTTATGGGATCATCCGTGTACACACATATACATATATACGTACCTATATACACCCATATATGTGTATACACACGAATGCACACACGCATGTACATGTGTATGTCTGTATATATGTGTACATACAAAGTGTACGTTCCAGCAACATTTCCCCATTTTATGGATTAATGATTATTCAACCACGCCACTATAATAATTTCATTAATATTAGTACGTAGGAAGAATATATTTTCATATATACGCAGAAACTACGGTTGTTTGTAAAAAGTATGATGTGTTGATTTCAATATCATCGCATAATTTTAGGAATATTGATGCTTAAGAAAGATATATATATATATATTATATATTATATATATATATATATATATATATATATATATATATATATATATATATATATATATATATATATATAAAAACATTTTTAAGGCTTATATTTTATCGTGAAAAAGAACAGATATATGAACTTTAATGGACTTTAGATTTACTGTGAATCAGATTACTGCACTGCATAATATATTGACAGGTTTTCCTAATAACTGTATTAAAAATGATAGTAAACTATTGGTGATAAGAACAATGATAATACAGTGATATTATTAAAGTGAAAATAATATATGAAATTATGGAACAGGACGCATAGTGAGGATATTAATAATAATAATGATAATAAAAAAAAAAACAGTTTTAATGGATTATTATGAATCAAATCACTGCACTGGATGATGTACTGACACCACTAACGAACTTACCGCGTTCAGTGCACATCTTTCCTAACACTGTGAATAGAAATGATGATAAACTGTTGGTGATAAGAACGTTGATATTATATTACCATTATTAGATAAAGTAAAACGATACGTAAAATCATGGAACAGGAGCAATAGTGAGGATATTGAAAAAATAGTGATAATTCAAATAATGGTTTTATAATAAGAATCATGATCATTTTTGCTCCTATCACTGATACTAATAACAATGGTAATACGAATAATAATAATGATAACACATATTATGATGGTAATACGGAGAGAAACGCACACACACACATACATATTTATGTATATATATATACTAATATTTATATATACATATATACATATACGTATACACACATATGCACACATACATATGTACATATTTATATATATGTAATTATATACACACATATATATGCTTATGTACACTAGAGGGGAGGGGAAGGGACATCGACATTGAAGCATGTTTCGTCTCTGTACTTCAAGGATGATGTCTCTTTACTGTTAGTTCTCTCACTTTTTTTTTTTTTTTTTTTTTTTTTTTTTTTTTTTTTTTTTTTTTGAAAAGGTCAGTTTCCCCTTAGTCTGGAAAAACACTGATGCGTTTAATCTCTAATGTTATTGTTCTGATTAGTTATAGTTATGCTTACAATTCGCAAAGAATATGAAACCTAAAAATTGAATATTCAAAAAAGAAATATAACAATATATACTCTTAGTTTCTCGTGGGTTAAATACACTGACGTAAAGAATTTCTCCATAACGGCAAAGCGCAAACATACAATCTCGATACTGCATGACAAGCACCTTTATCTCAAAGCCTTCATAAAAAAAAAAACAAAGTTCAGAAAGCATGCCAGACATAAAGGTACCTTGAGAGTATGCCCTGTCTTGTATAAATACCAGAACAAAACATCAGTGTCACACTTTTAGCTCAGATTTTGTTCTTGTCAGAGTAGGACAGGAAATCGGACGATGTTTATAAAACGGCCGTTGGTGAGGAAGCAAGTGTGTTTGTACGAAAAGAAAAAGTTAGACTCTGAATAAGTCTAGTTGATAATTGGGTCTATTTGGTTGATAAAGATGAGGATATGATTAGTAGAATACTGAAGGTTGAAAAGCGAATTGACTATTTCCAGGTGGTGATGGTGGCCGTGATGGCGATGGTGTACGTCGCAGCGGCTGGAGGAGGATATGGTAGTGGTGGAGGAGGAACGAGGTGGCGGTGGAGGAGGAGGTAGAGGTGTGGAGAAGAGGAAGTGGAGGAGGATTTGGTGGAGGACGGGGTGGAGGGTCAGCAGGAGGCGGATTTGGAAGGGGTGTTGGTGGAGGAAGCGGTGGATTTGGTGGAGGAGGAGCTGGAGGATTCGAGGCGGCAACGCACTTGGTGGCGGCGGCGGCGGAGGAGGATACGGCGGAGGTCGTGCGGCAGCGGCGGAGGCGGCGGAAGTGTGCTCCCCGCAGTTTTCCTGGGAAGTGGAAAGCTCTCTGGCGGAGGCGGCGGTGGATTCGGAGGCAGCGGTAGCGGGGTGGGAGGTTTCGGAGGGCAGTGGTTTCGGCAGCGGCAGTGGAGGCAGTGGATTCGGAGGCAGCGGCGGTGGTGCTGGTGGATTTGGAGGCAACGGCGGTGGAAGCGGCGGATTCGGAAGCAGCGGTTTTGGTAGCGGTGGAGTCAGCAGCGGATTCGGAGGCGGAAGTGGAGGCGCTAGTGCTCGGGCGGCCAGAGAAGAGGAAGCGTTGGAGGCAGTTATGGAAAGTAACTGGTTTAACAAGCCATTCCTACTGCTACAAGAACTATATTGAAAAAAAAAGAAAAAAAGAAAAAATGAAGTTTAAATCTTTTCTTTCTCACGGAAATGGAACTATATTGAAAAGAAGAGAAGAAGAGAAAAAAAAATGTTTAAATCTTTTTTTTTTCTTCCTCACGGAAATGAAGACACGATTTGAGTATATTGTATCTCCGTTATTAAAGTTCTCCTAACTGGTTGTCTATACAATTTGGGTTTTCACCTGAAACAAAAAGACTAAACTGCAAGTCACATATACGACATGACAGATGCTCAATATTACACGATTTAATGAATCCCTAATTCAAAACTGCCTGATTTAAAGAATATTCTGGGTATCACAGATATTAATTTACTTCTTAGTTATGATGGCCATTTTTTTTTTTTTTTTTTTTTTTTACATTATTGAGAAACCACGTTATGCAAAACACTTTTCTTTCCTTCTATCTTCGTTATCCTTCCTACTGCCTTTGTTTTAATCTTCTTTATTTTTCTTTTTTCCTTAATTATTTTTCTTAGTGAATAAGGGGTTGAACACTTTTGTCATTTTTTCCTATCTAGCTTAAATGATGTTGGTTCTTGTCTTCCTCGCTCTCTACTTTATTATTTTCTTCTATTAATGGGGGATTAGGAATGACTCAAATCATTTAAATTCAAAGCAGTGATAAATGCCACATGCCATAACTACCAAATGATATATACCAGAGTTTTATAAAGAAACAATGACCTGTCAATCACCCTTTTCTTAGAGACAATTAATACTATCCCTTGGCAATGGTGTTTAACAATGGCCGCCATAAATGTTTAATGTTGACTGTAGTTATCTTTTGTCTCTAAATATACATGGAGTCAATTGGTAGGCCTACGTGAGCTCCCCGATTTCCCTTTTCCTTGATTTTTCGGCACTTTTTTAATGCTACTCATATCGATATTATTATTATTATCATTACGATTAGTATCGCCATCATTTTCATTATTATCATCATTATCATTATTTATTACTAATATCATTATGATTAGTATCACCATTATTTTCATTATCTTTATTAGTATTACTGATATCATGATTATTGTAATATCAACAATGCTAATAGCAATTCAAATTATTCATATCATTCCGACAATCGAGAAATGGATGAATAAGTGAGAGAAGTATGTCTAGTAATTTACTCCTTGGTGACTAAGATCTCGTGGAGCCATTACTCGTAAACACACACACACATACATACACACAAAGAAAGAAAGAAAGAAAGAAAGAAAGAAAGAAGGAAGGAAGAAAGAGAGAAAGAAAGAAAGAAAGAAAAAAGAAAGAAAGAAAGAGAGAAAGAAAGAAAAAAAAGAAAATACAGCGGACTTGCTATATGCTATCATCACTGATTGAGGGATAAAAATCAACAAAAATCACAATATCTTGTTCCAGTGGCGGCCGCTTCTAAATCCGAAACCTGATCCACCGCCAACATTTAAAAAACATATAACCTACTAACTTGAGACAAATAACTTTTACTAGCAAAAACCAGCACTTCCGTTGGATATTGTCGTCTACTGCTCATGTAGAGTGTGGCTTGGCTAGTCCTGTTAGTTATGGTCAGAGGAGGGGTTAGGTGTAGAAAGGAGGGGTGGGGGGGGAATTTCATTAAAGTAAGGGCTATAGTGATAGGAGTCGGAAGTCCATTATGAATTAGTATACTGGATTCCCTCTTGTGTTGTAGTAAAAGGGGAGGTATGATAATAAAAAGTAGCATGAAACACAGATAATGACGATTTTAATACATAATGGAGATATTTAATGAGTGCATCACTTTACCTATATAGATGTATTTCAATACTTTTTTTTTCTTTATCTTATCTTACAGAATTTACATACGCATTTCTGTAAAACGCTATCGCCTTTCAAAAGACATTGAAAATTCATTTTTTATTCTTTATTAATACTTCACACCAACACAAATAAAACCGCACT